GTCGTGGTGTTGGAGGACAGGATAGTTGTGATATCACTGCTGGGTTGTAATGTGGTGAACTACTTTTTGTGGGCCCGACGGCCTTGGATAGTTTAGTGGACTTCGGATGTAAACATGACATTTAGGTGTGGGTGGGTATACCAACAATTCAAAACTCAATCCAGAATTGTTTGTATGCTGCTTACAGTGGTGGTGGAGCGGAGCGAGCATGCATGTTCAGCGCGCGATCTAGCCCTCGAGTCGAGAATCAAGACCATCGCGTGGGGATAACTGCATCTAGAGTTGTGGACACGATGGATAAGCTCCGAAGGCCCCTTGCCCCTGCAGTTCTCTAACCGAACGACGACTGTACCACGAGGCAGCTTAAGTCTGGCCGAACTGATACGACGTCCAATTACAGTAGTTTCTCGGCGCTCGATGCCAACACATCAATCTGCGTGCAGGTCCGAGAGACTTTGAAGGAGTCAGACCACAAACGGGTCGAGCCGACAAAACAATCATGTTCACGTGCCTGTCCGGTGAATCCTGCGAAGACTCTAGTGCCAGCGAGCCTTCGGAGAGCCGCATGCATGTGTCGTTGGAGACTGCAGCGCGCTACCGGTAGCCTGCAGCCACTTGGCATCAAATAGTGTTGATTCGCCAATGCAACGAGACATCTCTCGTTCGGGCTAGGCGGACGCAGCAGACCAATGATGGTGGGATCTGGAAGAACATGCGGACACTCCGCCTCGCACCGGTCGCTAGACGATCCGAACACGAAAGTGTATACCGGTGGAGCCTGGACGACTTCAATGCTCGCGTGCCATGCATGTTCACGTAGGAGCGACGTCCCGAGGAGTCGCGAGGTCGCGAGGAGTTGACCGAGTGGCGCTCGCGATAACGGTGGCAAGGGGACGCGCAGCATGCAGTTGAGCCATCGCATGCAGTATTGGTTGAGAAATGTCAAGATGATGTTCAGTTAGTAGGTAGAAGATGAGCAACTAAGGTCGCACACTACACAGGTAAGGTTTGCGGTGCCAAGCGACGTGCCAAGTCCTCCACGACTCCTAACCAAACTTCATCAATTCCTCATGTGCTCAAATTCTAGCGGATGCACATGCTTGCATGCTTGGCTGTTACGTAGTCCCGACTTGATCGACTACCCTGCATATGAATCCTATGCATGGCGTTGTCAATCTCGACGTCCGTGGTCGCTGCTCCTCGAAAGGGATCGATCACACTGGCAATACATGCGCTAGCGACGGGCAGACATGCTGTATTCTGTTGCATGGCTTTGCGGATATGATTGCAAAGGGATTGGTCTGGCCAGGCTTGCTACCTATGGGTGATGCAGCGTGGCAATCTTGAATCCTGCAGCGGAAGGCGGGAGGATGACTGAGCGCTACCAGAGTCTGGCCGCGCACACAACTTGCATGTTACGCAGAAATGGCGAGGCAACTACGGAATCACTGAAAGAATTCCTTGTTAGATTTTTGCAACAATCACTATGAATTACAAGATACATCATATTGTTCTAGATTGATGTAACCCTGCTCGCTAAATGGTGAATACCCCAGCCAAGACGTGAGGTAAGATCGCGTGCTCGATGAAACGCTCCATGATGATCCCTCCAGCATCGAACATCGAACTGCGGCCGGTCGGGCCTTTTGAAGTCAGACCAGGGCGGGCGGTGTGCTCGTAGGAGTGGAATTTCGCCATCGCCCAAAAGGGACTAGTTCGGGCGGGATTGGTCACTCGAAGCGTGGATTGCGTAGGATTGCGTGACCGCTGGAAGTCACGACCCAACCTTTTGTAAGGCGCGTCAGGGTCGCACTTCCCCACATACACCGTGCGGCCGACGCGACTTCCGGGGCGTCGCGCTTCTTATCTTCCCTATCTATAAAGGTCCCGCTGCCCTCATCTCAACCAGAGTTCGGCCACCAAGTTTCCTGCCTTCACCCAATTTCAGGAATTAATTGCTTCTTCCTACAATATCATCGAAGCTTCAAGTCTACCACCACAACTACTGCCACTACAGTATGGCACCCAGTCTCTTGCTAGACCCAGAGTCGCCGCCCTCATCCTATGTCCACACCAGCAAGCAAGCCTTCAGCCAGGACGGCGGTGTCTCACTCAAGGAGGCCCAGGCTCCCGTTGGCGGCGACTTTTCCTTCTCTTCCACAGCCATGAACGGTAATGGTAACGGCCATGTCAACGGTAGCGATGGCTTCTCCGGCAACGGGTTCTCAGATGCTCAGCAAGGCGGAAGCGATTTCATTACTGCTCAGACTCTTCGTCAACAATCGGACAGCTATGCGACTCAGGCTCGCACTTCGGGAGACGGAAAGCGTCCCAACATCTTGTACATTATGGCCGATCAGATGGCCGCACCCATGCTAAAGTTCAATGACCCAGAGTCAGTTATCAAGACACCTCATCTTGATGAGCTTGCTAGGACCGGCGTCAACTTCGCGAGCGCTTACTGCAACTCACCTTTGTGTGCACCATCTAGGTTCACCATGTGCAGCGGTCAGTTGCCATCCAAGATCGGAGGATACGACAACGCCTCGATCCTGAGCCCAGAGATCCCGACCTACGCCCACTACCTCCGCCGCGAAGGATACGAGACTGCGCTCGCAGGAAAGATGCACTTCATCGGCCCGGACCAGCTCCATGGCTTCGAGCACCGACTTACTTCCGACATCTACCCTGGCGACCTGGGATGGTCCGTCAACTGGGACAAGCCAGAGGAGCGTCAAGAGTGGTACCACAACATGGCCTCGGTCATGCAAGCCGGACCATGTGTGCGATCCAACCAACTCGACTATGACGAAGACGTCATGCACAAGGTAAGGAATCTCAGTAATACAATGCACTCCAGCGGTATAAGAAAGTCTTCTAACACATACCTTCAGGCTCAACAGTACCTCTACGACTACGTCCGGTCTGACCCCGAGACCCGTCGGCCATTCGCCTTGACCATCTCTTTGACCCACCCACACGACCCCTACACCATGATCCAAGAGTACTGGGACCGATACGAGGGCGTCGACATTCCCTTGCCCAAGGTTGAGATCGCCCAAGAGAACCAGGACTCTCACTCCCAGCGTCTGCTCAAGACCATCGACCTGTGGGACAACCCTGTTCCAGACGAGGCCAAGATCCGCGCGCGCCGTGCCTACTTCGCTGCGTGCAGCTTCGTTGACGACCAGGTTGGCAAGCTCGTCCGTCTTCTCAAGAACTGCAGGCTGGACAAGGACACCATCATTGTCTTTTCTGGAGACCACGGCGACATGCTTGGCGAGAGGAGCCTGTGGTACAAGATGAGCTGGTATGAGAACAGCGCGCGAGTACCGATGATTATCAACGGGCCCAATATCGCGCCCAAGAAGGTCAAGGAGTCCGTGTCCACCATGGATCTCTTGCCCACGTTCGTCGACCTCGCTGGAGGACAAGTCGATGATCGTCTGCCACTAGACGGTGTCAGCCTTCACGAGTACCTTGTCTCAGACAAGCCAGGCAAGGACGAGGTGTTCGGCGAGTACATGGGCGAAGGCACCGTTACTCCCACCTACATGATCCGTCGTCATGAGTGGAAGTTCACCTACTCCCTTGCCGACGGACCGCAACTCTACAACCTAGTTGAAGACCCGCAGGAGCTGCATGATCTTGCCACTTCCCCAGAGCCTCACAACCAGAAGATGCTCGCCAAGTTTGAGGCGGAGGCGCGCGAGAAGTGGGACTTCAAGACCATCCACAACGACGTCGTCCGAAGCCAGCGCATGCGCCAAGTTGCTTGCAGTGCACTGAAGATTGGCCGCAAGGAGTCGTGGGACTACCAGCCGCCGGCCAACGACCAGAACCGCTTCATCCGCTCGCACATTCCTCTGGATGAGCTCGAGCGTCGCGCCCGCTTCCCCATCGTGGACTACTTGGGCCGTGAGAAGTCAGCTCAGGCATCCCACCATGGTCTTGCTGGAGCAGCTGGCCAGTGAGGGCACGTTTCCCAAGTACCCACGACCTTTTTCCCTTTCGTCAAATTTGTGTTATTACGGCCGCCGAGATTCCATCTTTCCAGTCTGTTTATAGCGATGCTGTTAATGTCCAGTTTTATTAGCGGCTCATGGCGTATGACTTTACGACGCAGGGTGTGTATTGTCAAGCGTTCTGCAAACAGCATGGTCAGAATGAGTTGCATTTACGGCGTTTTGGGGCATATGAGGGAAAGGCGTTATAGCGATGACGATCTTGAACAGGCCATACATGGGCGACGGGTGATCTGGCTATGTATAGCACAGTACAACAATAAAACTGAAAACGTAACCTCGGTGCCGTGTGAATTGACGTCGGCGTTGATCATGTGTGAAAGAATGATGGTGGTGCTGTGAAGCTGTGTGACTCTGGTGCGAAGCGGCGGGGACAAGGAGGGGTGTAATGGTGAGTACCACGATTGGGGGACTGCGATAAGCCAAGTTTCAAGCTACACGTGAGGTGGCGTTTGCCTCCACAAGCCGAACGACCGACAGCGGAAGGTGCCAGTTACGTCTGCGACTCAGTACCACCAACCTTGATTGTAGCTATATCCACCGTGTCTGTTCTACCTCAACCTCCCACTCCGCTTCAACTACCTCGAGCTCCGTCCATCAACTACGCACAACCATGTCTACTGCAGCCCGCCGCCGTTTGATGCGCGACTTCAAGGTACGCCACTAGAGCATCACCAGCAAGCTCTGGATGTTTGCGCAATTTAATAGAGAACACCGTACTGACAAAAACAGCGCATGCAAACTGATCCTCCCGCCGGCGTCTCTGCATCTCCAGTTGCGGATAATGTCATGACCTGGTACGGCTCACCGCATTCCCCCGCACGCGACACCAAGCCTCGCAGTCACTCTCGACTTTCGGACACACAGCAGCGGCAATAACATATGTCTGAGCTTGAATGCTGACACATAGACAGGAATGCAGTCATTATCGGCCCAGCAGACACACCGTTCGAAGACGGGACCTTCCGTCTTATAATGCATTTCGAGGAGGCATACCCAAACAAGCCGCCGGGCGTCAAGTTTATTAGCCAGATGTTCCATCCCAACGTATACGGGACCGGCGAGCTGTGTCTGGACATTCTTCAAAACCGGTGGTCGCCCACGTACGACGTGGCAGCCATCTTGACCAGTATTCAGAGGTACGTCAGAGGAGAGCTGGTGGGCTGCAGCGCGACACATGCTAACAGGGTCCAGTCTGTTGAACGACCCGAATACCTCGTCTCCCGCCAATGTCGAAGCATCGAACCTGTACAAAGAGAACCGCAAGGAGTACACCAAGCGCGTGCGCGAGACGGTGGAGAAGAGCTGGGAGGACTGAGGGGCGACTAGGGTACGAATATCATGACACAACGGCATGGGATGGAGTTACAAGGGACAGGGACAATGTCATGTTTGTTACTGGCAGCCAGGGGCGTTTTGTTTGAGGCTCTGCGGCGTGGAGTTTGGTTCACTATGGTTCTATGTTCGTGGCGTAGCCAATATACGTCCGTTTTCGTTGGCATCGCTGATCATGTAGAGAAGCGTGATTGTCTTTGTCACTCCACTAATGCAGGGATCCTGGTTAGTTGTCTTGGGCACAATGCAGCGGTGTCTTGCTGCAACTGCTACAATGCCATGAAGCAATGCAAGTAGGCGGGACAAAGGGGTCACCATAAAGGAAGATGCGCAGAGCATGCTTTGACCAGGCAGGTTGCGTCACGGCCGTTGGCGGCGGGGAGGAGGAAGGCGCGCTATGGGCATGCAGACCCTGGGCGTATCAACACAAGCCCCAGCCCGCACCTCGACAATAGCCCGGCATCAACATCGCTCGTCTCCCTCACCGCGCGCGCCCCCGTGCTGTTGTCCCCTCACTTTCCTCTGGCGCGAGCAGCGAAGGAGTCCCCGGTGTGCCCCAGGAAGCCTCCGTGGCCGTTTCAGCAGTTCCCCTTAACCATAGTCATAGCGGGGCCTGTAATTACCCACCTCCCACGCGCCGAGACACAGCGAGACGTGACGGTGCCACAACAGGACCTCCCGGCGGGCCTGCAGCAACACCTGCCCCGAAGCGCGAGCGAAGCAAACAGAGCGAGGCCTCTGGGCCGCACCGCCTGAACAGCAGCAATCATGTCGTGAGTAGCTCCAAGATGGCGGCGAAGAGGGGTGGCATGGCTAACAAAACGGGCGACAGGGGCTCCAATACTATCAAAGGTGCGCCGCCATACACGAGACACAGACACGCATGGGATACGGGTTACTGACGGTACGACTGCAGTGGTGGCGCGGTTCCGCCCGCAGAACAAGGTCGAGATAGCCAGCGGCGGAGAGCCCATAGTCGAATTCAAGTCCGACGACACATGTACGATCCAGGTACGGCATGCCAGCTCGAGGGATGCAAAGCAGAGCCACTAATGCTGTGTTAGTCGAAAGAGGCCTCCGGGGCCTTTACCTTCGATCGCGTTTTCGACATGAACTCCCGCCAGGCCGACGTCTTCGACTACTCCATCCGCCCCACCGTCGACGATATTCTGAATGGATACAACGGAACAGTCTTCGCCTACGGGCAGACAGGAGCGGGAAAGTCGTACACCATGATGGGTAGCGATATGGACGATGAGGTTGGCAAGGGAGTCATCCCGCGTATCATCCAGCAAATCTTCGCAAGCATTCTGGCATCGCCGAGCAACATTGAATATACCGTCCGCGTCAGTTACATGGAGATCTACATGGAGCGCATCCGCGATCTTTTGGTTCCCCAAAACGACAATCTGCCGGTGCACGAAGAGAAGAACAGGGGAGTCTACGTCAAGGGTCTGCTGGAAGTATACGTTTCGAGCGAGGAAGAAGTCTACGAGGTCCTCCGAAGAGGTGGATCTGCACGAGCGGTCTCAGCTACCAACATGAACGCCGAATCCTCGCGATCGCATTCCATCTTTGTTGTAACGGTCAACCAGAAGAACGTCGAGACCGGATCATTGAAGAGCGGACAGCTCTTCTTGGTCGATTTGGCTGGTTCTGAGAAGGTCGGCAAGACCGGAGCGAGTGGACAGACGCTGGAGGAAGCAAAGAAGATCAACAAGAGTTTGAGTGCCTTGGGCATGGTCATCAACTGCTTGACCGACAGCAAGACGCAACATATCCCCTACCGAGACTCGAAGCTCACACGTATTCTCCAAGAATCGCTCGGTGGTAACTCCCGGACAACTCTAATCATCAATTGTTCGCCAAGTAGTTACAACGATGCCGAAACGCTGGGCACACTTCGATTCGGTATGCGCGCAAAGACTATCAAGAACAAGGCCAAGGTCAACGCCGAACTCAGTCCGGCTGAGCTCAAGGCCATGCTCAAGAAGGTACAAGGACAAGTCACGTCGTACGAAACCTACATCGGTTCGCTCGAAGGCGAAGTTTCGCTTTGGCGTGGAGGTGAAGCCGTCCCCAAGGAGAAGTGGATACCGCCTCTGGAGACTAGTCCGTCTTCAGGCAGAAAGCCAGCGACAACGCCTCGTCCGGGAACGCCATCGAGACTGGAAGGTGTGAGAAACTCGGAAACGCCACGACCTGATTCGCGAATGGACCTGGAACGCGCAGGTACACCCAGCATACCACTAGACAAGGACGAGAAGGACGACTTCTTGCGAAGAGAGAACGAACTCCAAGACCAGGTTGCCGAGAAAGAATCACAGCTTGCCAAGGCTGAGGACCAACTCAAGTCTGCCAAAGAGGAGCTTCAATACTACAAAGACCGGGACGCGAAGACGAACAAGGACAATGAGCGAATCACTATGGAGCTCAACGAGATGCGCATGCAGGTTGAGAAGATTCAGTTTGAGAGCAAGGAGGCGCAAATTACCATGGACGGACTGAAGGAAGCCAACTCGGAGCTGACCACCGAGCTGGACGACGTCAAGCAACAGCTCCTGGACGCGAAGATGAACGCCAAGGAGACTTCTGCCGCTATGGACGAGAAGAAGAGGAAGAAGGCCGAGGCAATGGCACAAATGATGGCCGGCTTCGATCTCGGCGGCGAGGTGTTCAGTGACAACGAGCGTACGATACGGAAGATCATTGAGGAGCTAGACCAGCTCCACGACATGAGCGCAGCTGGCGAGGCGATTGCTCCGGATGCGATCAAGGGCCTGCGGGAGAAGATTGTCGAAACACAGGGCATTGTCCGACAAGCCGAGCTCTCCCTTACTGCCCGCAGTGAGGAGGACAACACATATGCCAAGCGCCGCGAAGCACTGGAGGCACGCTGCGAGACCTTGCAGACGCAGTACGAGGAACTTCTCGAGGGCAACCTTTTAGAGCAAGACAAGGAGGAGCTCAAGGCACGCCTTGCCGACGCCTACTCTGCCCGACAAGAAGGCAACCTCGAACTTGTCGAAAGTCTCAAGCAGGACACTGCACGTATGCTGGAAGAGAACCAGAAGCTCAAGGCCGAGAACGAAAGCCTGCAACAGCGCATTAAGAGTGGCGCTATTGCCAACGGTGTCGCCAACGGCATCAACGGCAAGACTGTGCAACAGCAGATTGCCGAGTTTGACAACATGAAGAAGAGCCTCATGCGCGATCTCCAGAACCGCTGTGAACGAGTGAGCAGACTGAGCTTCTCAAACGAAGACGCATTGCTAATAAGCCACAGGTTGTCGAGCTTGAGATTTCGCTAGACGAGACACGCGAGCAGTATAACAACGTGCTCCGTACCTCCAACAACCGCGCTCAGCAGAAGAAGATGATGTTCCTCGAGCGCAACCTCGAGCAACTCACCGTCGTCCAGCGCCAGCTCGTCGAGCAAAACAGCTCCCTGAAGAAGGAAGTCGCCATCGCCGAGCGCAAACTCATGGCCCGCAATGAGCGGATACAGTCTCTAGAAAGCTTGTTGCAAGACTCCCAGGAGAAGCTCACAGCTGCGAATCACCGGTATGTACTTCCCCCACCCTTTCCTCCTCCTCCTCTTCCTCACAAACCACCCACCATACTAACTACTATTCTTCCTCGCCAGCTTCGAAGCCCAACTCACAGCCGTCAAAGAGCGCCTCGAGTCGGCCAAAGCGGGCTCCACCCGCGGTCTCGGTTCCCCCGCTGGCGGCGCAAGTTACGCTGGCTTCGGTGGCGTCGGGTCCCGCATCGCCAAACCGCTTCGTGGCGGCGGTGGTGGACCCGTCGCGGACGGCCCTGTCCTCCCTGTCATTGGCAATCTGCAGAAGCAGGACGGTGATGGAGGGGATGCGAATAAGGGGAAGCGGACGAGCTGGTTCTTTAATCAGCGGTAGTGGGGGTAGGGATGGGGAAGGGGAAGGGGAAGGGGAAAGAGTGGAAAGGGTGGAGTATGAGTACGAGATGGATTTGGGTGGGTATCATTGATTGAATGGTATGGGATGGGATGGGATGGAACAGGGAGGGATGGAAGGGTGTTTATGGCGTCGCGCTTTCTGTGGAGGAGCGAAGTGTGGCAAGGCACGTTCAATGAGGGAAAGGGATGGATGGAATGTGATGGAATGAGATGAGATGCATGCTTGAACTGAATCATGCAACGCGCAAGACTTGGTTCTTTGGGTGTATAGGAGGTGTCTGTTTGGTTTTTACTTCGCTTGTTTGCGTAGCCCCCTTTATACCATAGATTCATTATCTTTGAATACCTTGCATAAGGATGTTTTGTCTACGCTCATTCTCGATGTCCTTCCAGTAAGTGATGATTCAGGAGTGTGGAGACTGGATACATCAAGGGAATATGTGTGTAGTATGACTGTATGGCAATGTAACAACTAAAGAGCTGACTAGCAAGGGAAGGTGTGAAACGAAGTATTCTGAAGGTAATGTTTCAGATCCGGACAGCCACCCGGTTCGTCTGGTACTTCTTTGTGCTGGGAAGAAGGAGCGTGCAGATTATTGCTATGCTTCCAAAGGCGATACTCGTGAACTAAATGCCATCAACGTTAGCTTCCTGATATCTAAGCAGTCAGCGGGAAGAAGTCCAACATACCCAAACATACTTCAAACTCTCACTATACGCCCACCTCGTCCCAATCGTCGCACCCTCAATAACCTGCGGCGTAACACCCGGAATACCCGTCGTAGCCAACTTCTCCGGCTCCGTAAGAAACAAGCCCACGAACGCCTCCACACTCTCCAGCGGCAAACCAGCCTGCACCGCATACATCGCCGTGTACTTTGGTAGATTGTTCGTCAGTTTCCCCGCGAAAATGTTGTAGTAAATCGAATACCCGATACTGCCGCCAACGGTGCGAATCGACAGCGACAACGCCGCAGCAGTCGTGATAAGCGCATCCGGACAAACCAGCATCGCAACCGTCGCAGCGGGGACAAGAACGCCGCCTACACCAAACCCCGCCATGGATCCCAGAAAGAGAACCAAGCGTTCGTTGTCTGGCGTCATAACCGCCAGCGCCCCAGCAAAACTTGTCATAATCCCCACAGCCACAAGCAACACCTCCCTCGTATTTCCTGGAAACCTACTCAGTGCCGCATTAAAAAATATCGCGCCCACGGCCGTCGTAAGCGCGGGCCCCAAGCCCCTCAGCCCAATAGACACAGGATCGGGTGTGTAAACACTACTAAACGTAACCGGAAAGAAGTTCAAGATGCTGAAGAAATTCATGCCGGCGCTAAACGCAACGACATACGCCAGCCCCACTATCCTTTGCCCAGAGAATAGGGCACGAGGTACCATGGGGTACGCTGCGAATTTTGTCTCGTAGAGAACCCAGAGGGCGATTAGGAAGAGGCCGATGAGCATGGTACATAGGACGTATGCGGAGGTCCAGGGGTGGGTGTAGCCGCCTGATTGGAGGGCGACGAGGAAGAGGGTTAGGCCTGTTATGGAGAGTACACCACCTACATAGTCTATTCTTTTCAAGATCGCTTTTCGCGTGTAGGAGGGGGAGGTGTTGGTGTGGCGCTGTGGGAAGTAGGTTAGGGCGAGGCCGACGCCGACGATTGCGTTGAAGATTAGGGCGACCCAGGGGCCCCAGCGCCAACCTGGACCGGTGGCGGAGTGGGACCAGAGTTCTACGTAGAGGAGGTAGGGGCAGAAGGGGAGGACGAAGGCGGTTACGAGGGCGAGGGAGTAGCCGCGGTATTTTACGGGGACGACTTCTGCGAGGCTGAGGTGGGGGTGTTTGTTAGTAGGGATTGATATGATAGCGGTCGTGGCAAGTGAACCAGTGGATGAAGAAACTAGAACAGAAGACAACAGACAAAAGGGAAGAAAGAACACAACTTACCCAGCAAGACCAGTCAACTCCCCCGTCGCAGCGCCCGCCCCCGAAATCGCCATACCAGCCAACAGCTGTCCGAAATTCTGTCCACTGCCCATCAACGCACATCCGAGGCAGATGCAAAAGGAGCCAAAGAGTGCGATGTAGCGTTTCCCAAAGAGGTCTTGGAGGTAGCCTGCATAGGGGCATACGGCGGCGATGGCGAGGATGTTGGCGGTGGGCAGCCAGGCTGAGCCGCGGTCGAGGTTGAGATCGGCTTCGATGAACGAGAGGGAGGCGCCGGCGAAGTAGAGGATTACTTGGGAGCCTGGGGTGGGTTAGTCTAGGGTGAAATTGGGGTGGAGATGGGATGGGGAGGGGGAGTTGTACCAGTGTATAGTGCGGCGAGGAAGATGGCGGCGAAGATGCTACGCACACTCCATTCTACCTTGCCATCTGAGTCGTCTCCTTTGAGTGCGTGGGCATTATTCATATCCACGCCTTGGTCTGTTTGGTCATGCTGTGACTCCAGCGACAAGTCTGTACCATGATGCGGGTTTGCATGTTCGATGTGATGACTGACTTGTTGCTTCTCCTTTTCGTAGTCCGGTTGGATGGTATCTGAAGCCATGATCTGACCACTAGATTGGAGATTTCTTTCTGATTCGTTACTGCAGCTTCAAAGAGGAAGATAATGTGGTTGCATCTCTGTCTACCCCGAGTGACGGGATAATCACTATCCTATATCTCCAATCCCTCCCACATCCCGATGCCAAACGCACCCCACATGCCTGAAAACGTCTTCCTATCAGTTCAGCTTGGCTTTCCAAAGATGCAGTCATTTTCATGTAGCGATCCAGTAGGCGCGTACCAAGCCCACATTCGACCCACTCGTACAGTTTCCAGTGACTAGCACAAGCGAAACCTGGGGTAGTTTGCAGCTACTGAGTGCGGGGAATTGACGAACGTTTCAGCAATGCGACGATCTGGGCCCATTTTGGATCAAAGGTGGCGCATAGGTTAGACTGACTCGATTGTAGCGACATCGTGAGGAAGAGACCTTTGTGGCTAGCATCTTGCCGGGAAAAGGTTCCATGTACCCCGCAGTGTGGGAATCGGGCCCTATGGACTTGGCGAGCGGCTCAGCTACGAGCTTTTTGTTTTTGGTGGCGGGCCTGGATAGATCGGATTTGGTGGGCAGGTTGCGTTGTGGTAAAGATGGCGTACATAGGGTAATGTGACCCCGGGGTTCTGAGTAGCCTATATGCAGTTCGCAAGCCTATCTTATCTACCAGACGAAGTATTCATTAGACGACTATACTGTTTAGTTAGACAGAATGGGCCTTCTGATGAATGCTGCCGCAGTCAAGTTGGAAACAAAGATGAAAACAAGTACTGGGTTTAGCTCGATTGAAACCATTTGAATTCGCGATTCCGGCAGTTCGCATGAATGCATCCGACAGCGTACGTCTATGTGGATGGCCCTGCTTTTTGTTGAGCGCTGGTTCGGCGATGTAGTTCCACGGGCTTGCTCTCCAGGTGCTTGTCGTACATGTGCAATACGGATACCGGATGAGAAAAATCATCTCTAACCGGGCATGCCTCTGCGCCTCACTTCTTGTCCTTCGATCCAGCATCATCCGCGATCAAGGCTTCAACATCTCGCTCCATGAGCCAGCTGCGGACACTCTCCATGACCTTCTCAAGCGTCTGGCCACCACCCATTACATCGTCTAAATCATGCACAGTGGTTCCACTCCTATGGTCGGTAACCCGCTGCTGCCCCCAGTTGTAGGTGCGCACCTTGTCACCGCGGCCCATCTTCGCCACACCAATAACGCTTCGTCGCATGTTGGCCATCTCCTCTTCGCGTTTCTCGCGTCTTGACTGGGCAATACGCGAACGCAGAAGCGCCCAAGCCTTCTCTTTATTCTTGTGCTGGGATCTAGAATCTTGCATCGCGACGACCGTGTTTGTGGGAATATGCGTTAGCCGAACTGCTGACTCGGTCTTGTTGACGTGCTGGCCACCGGCACCGCTTGCCCTCATGACTTCTAGTTTGACCTCTTTTACGTCGATGTAGTAGTCGCTTTCAGGGTCTTCGAAGTCCTGCTCTTCTGCAGAGTTCTCCTGTAAACTAGGTAGCACGTGTACGGATGCCGCGCTCGTGTGTGTACGTCCTTTGGCCTCAGTGGCGGGCACGCGCTGCACCCTGTGCACGCCTGCTTCGCATCGGAAGACGCCATATGCGCCATCGTTCTCCACCTCGATGATGGCTTCTGATAGCGGTACACCCGCTTCAGTTGTGCCGTTTATGTTCTCATACTTGAGAAGATTTGTGCGAAAGCCATTGCGGTTGCAGAAGGCTGAGTACATGCGGAAGAGGTCCCCCGCAAATATAGCTGCCTCTGATCCGCCTGCGCCAGGCCGTATTTCCAGAAGACATGGTAGGTGTGCAAATGGGTGTACCGGCACCAGAGAGGTGATGAGGTTCTGTGAAGCATTGGCGAGCTGTGTTCGGGTTTCTCCAAGGTCGTCGGAAGCGAGTGATCGTAGTTCGGGATCGGTCGAGGAGTCGTGTATCATCGAGGTGAGCTCTGTCACAGACTTAGTCCATATCAGCTACTGAAGCGCTCCTGCTGGTTGCGATATCCTGCTTACCTCGTTGGCCTTATCCCACTCACCCAACGCATTCACGATCGGGCTGTATTCGCCGAGCTTCTTCGCCGCACGTGTGTCAAAGCCATTTGAAAGCTTCCCTGTCAGTTCCTTGTGCTCGGAAACAATTGCGCGGGCTCTTGTAAGGAGGGCTGGGGGTATAGACTCGGATGTCGCAGCTATGCAATATTAGCGACTGGGCCAAACTGGACACGTTCAGGACATACCACTACTCTGCAGCCGAATACTGCGATTTATCAATGGACGAGCAATGCGCGACAGGCAATTGCGGCATATCCATGACGTTGTGAGCATCGTCGAGGTACCTCAAGCTCCAATCTGTGAATTTCTCCATGTCCAATGCGCGTTCCGATCGGCTCGGAACGTGTGCACGTGACGATAACCCTCACCCCGGCAGATTAAAGCGGACTACACCGCCTTACCACCTTCCTGTTGCGGAGACGTCATGGAGATAGGCGGGGACGCTGCGATATGTCCCGAGGGATTATCGAGCGAAATCGGCTCATTGAACGGCATCAACCATCTCCGGGGATAACCGTTGGAGACTACTTAGGTACCTAGGTATACCATCGCAGCTTGCCCGTACCCCACTCATAGCTCCAAGCTTCACACTCCAAGTCCCCATGCCTACCCCACGACGAAGCAAGAGGTCCAAAGCCCAACAAGAGCCTGAGCAAGAACGGCCCGCCAAAGTCGCCAAAGTCGCCATGGATAGCACAACTTCGAATACCCGCAATGTCTACCCACATCCCGAGCCCCAATTCGTCCATTTCCCCAGCCGCCGTTCAGTTGTACACAGTACCAAAGGTATTGTATCGTGTACGCAGCCACTTGCAGCCGCTGCTGGAATCGAGATCCTAAGGAAAGGTGGTAATGCGGCAGTATGACGTAATCCATCACCACTTCCATCACATACTAACGCTACAAAGGATGCTGCGGTGGCCGTTGCGGCAGCCATCAATGTCACAGAGCCGGGCTCAACGGGTATCGGCGGTGATATGTTCTGTCTGTACTACGATGCGAAGACGAAGAAGGTATCTGCCATGAACGGTTCCGGCCGGAGTGGTGCGAACGTCACCCTCGACAAGGTCAGGAAAGACCTCAACATTGCAGAAGGCCAGAGCGGTCAGATTCCCATGGATCATGTACATGCCGCGACAGTGCCTGGCGCAGCAGCAGGATGGGTTGACTGTGTTGAGCGATTTGGTAGTGGAAAGGTCAGCATGGAGGACGTGCTCGCGCCGGCCATTGATCTCGCAGAGAACGGTTTCCCAGTCTCCGAGCTATCAGCAACATTCGTGAGTTTTGCAACGCTTATGAACAGGTGACGTTCTGACATTCTATAGTGGGCAGCGAGCGAAAAGGACCTCTTGAAAGCATCGCCCAATGGCCGCGAGATGCTCAAGGATGGCAGAGCGCCCAAAGCCGGAGAAATCATGAAGAACCCCACCATGGGTAACACCTTCAAACTGCTGGCCAAGCACGGAAAGAAAGGATTCTACGAGGGCGACGTAGCCGAGCAGCTCGTAAAAGTAGTGCAAGATCTCGGTGGCTATCTCACTCTAGACGATCTCAAACACCATGCAGAAACCGGGACAGAGCCAGTAGACCCCATCTCGCTAAAGTACACAGGCCAAGGTGTTGGAGAGCGACCCGACGGCGGTATCGAGCTATGGGAACATCCACCAAACGGTCAAGGAATCGTCGCTTTGATGGCCCTCGGCATTATCCAGGAACTTGAGAAGCAGAAGAAGATTCCAAAGTGGAGCCTCAAAGACCACAACAGCACGCAATATCTTCACACCGTCATCGAAGCATTGCGAATTGCCTTCTGTGATGCCCATTGGTTCGTCACAGACCCGAACGTCGTCAAAGTGCCATCCGCCGAGCTTATCTCGGAAGAGTATCTTGCTGAGCGAGCGAAACTATTCGATCAAAAGAAGGCCATCTCAGCGCCTGTCCATGGATCTCCGGCGCATCTACAAAGCGATACTGTTTACTTCTGCTGTTCTGACCCTGAAGGAAACGCCATCTCCTTCATCAACAGCAACTATGGCGGATTTGGTACTGCCATCATTCCCAAAGGCTGCGGATTCACTCTGCAAAACCGAGGTGCAAACTTCAGTCTCGACAAAGACCACCCGAATGTTCTGGCCCCGAGAAAGCGACCATACCACACTATCATCCCTGGCCTGACAACATACATCAACGATGGTAGTCTGCACTCCGTGTACGGCGTGATGGGTGGTTTTATGCAGCCTCAGGGTCATGTACAGGTACTCCTCAACCAGGAAGTTTTCAAGCTTAATCCGCAAGCTGCGCTAGATTCACCACGCTTCTGCATCGGAGCCGGCATGCCTAGCGCTGACGGCAAGATGACTGACGCGACGATCTACCTGGAAGAGGGTATCGACCAAAAGGTCGTAGAGGAGCTGCGAGCACTTGGCCATAATGTCAAGCAACTGGATGGCTACGGACGTGGTATGTTTGGTCGAGGTCAGATCATCCGGCGACATGTAGACGACGGTGTGCAGGTCTGGAGTGGAGGTAGTGATCTGCGAGGTGACGGTGCGGCGATGCCATTGTAGGCGGCCACGACCACCTGAAGATCACGATTGTATATGAATAAGCAATCCAATGTCATAACACCTTCAATTCAACTGACTCGCATCCTGTAAGCAGCAGCCATTCATATCGCAAGTTGAGAAAGTAGTCCACAGCTGAGAACAAAGAAAAGCGATGCCAACATCAACCACCCCGCCAATCTCGATCAACACGAGCAACCCCAAACCCAGCAATAAATACCGAAACTCCATCCCAGACCGCCACAAGATCCGCAACGTTTTGCACGTGTATGATGAAAGACATCCCGCAGCCTGGCGTGGTTAGGGTGAACGATCGACGGCCCGCCCTTGCTGTTTCACATGTTGCATGCAAGAATGTGGCAGAACT